CTTTCTGTGAAACACAAGAGCAAAGTCGCGTACAACTCCTTCCTCGGGGCGTCGGCGGCACACTGAAGTGATTCTCCATCCCCGTCGCTCCTCGCATCAGCTGACCGCCCCCACAATGACGTCACGGGCAAAGGAGCGCTCTCATTGGTCCACGTCACAGGCACCGATTCCTACCCACTGTGAGAAGAGGAGGAGAAGAATCCTCATTTTCCCCTCGCATTCCTGCCGTTCCCAAGTTTTCTTCATTTTATTTCCCCACGGAGAGACGAAAAAAAGAGGAGGAGGAGGAGAAAGACGAGACCGCGATAAAGGAGGAAACAAAAATTACCAAGAAGAAAGAGAGATAAAAGAATCCCATATTTTTTTCGTCATCGGGTTTTACGCGTCGATAACGCTCGCCTCTCGCTGGTTCAGGACAAAACAATAAATAAAAAAAAATAAAAATTAAGATATGAGAGAGAGTGAGTGAGTGAGTGAGTGAGTGAGTGAGAGAGAGAGAGAGGAGAGAGAGAGAGAGAGAGAGAGAGAGAGAGAGAGAGAGAGAGAGAGAGTGAGAGAGTGAGAGAGTGAGAGAGTGAGTGAGTGAGTGAGTGAGTGAGTGAGTGAGTGAGGTGAGTGAGAGAGAGAGAGAGAGAGATAGAGAGAGAGAGGAGAGAAGAGAGAGAGAGAGGGAGAGAGAGAGAGGGAGAGGGAGAGGGAGAGGGAGAGGGAGAGGGAGAAGGAGAGGGAGAGGGGGGAGAGAGAGAGAGAGAGAGAGAGGGAGAGAGAGAGAGAGAGAGAGAGAGAGAGAGAGAGAGAGAGAAGAGAGAGAGAGAGAGAGAGAGAGAGAGAGAGAGAGGACAGGGTACAACAACCACAGGCTTAGACCATCTGATTCTCCTTATCTTAGCAACAATGATTCCCCCCCGTTTCCCCCTATCCCCTTTCCTCTCCCCTCTCTTCTCCCCCATTCCCCTCCCTCTCTCACTCTCCTCTCCCCAATCCCCCACTCACCCTCTCCCTCTCCATTCCCTCCCCACCCCCTCACCCTCTCACTCTCCACTCCCCCCTATCCCTCTCCACTTCCCCTCCCCCCTTACCCTCTCACTCCCCCTTACCCTCTCCATCCCCCTTCCCCCCCTCACCTACCCCCCACACCCCAGGACACACACACACACACAGTCACGTAGGACGAATCAGAAACGAAAAAAAAAATACAAAAAAAGGAAGAAAAAAAAAAAATTAAAAGTCTGAGAGCGACTTATGGAAAACATTCCCTAACAGATATGCCAGGGGTAGATTCATGTGGGTGCGTTAGTACATAGAAGTTGTGACTTAGGAGATATAAGGGGACATTGGACAAGAGTGAGACGAGAGGCGAGATAGTAGCGCAGTGTCTGCGGCTCGGTGACATGTGTGTAGTGTGGCCTAAGGAACTGTTACCGACGTTGCTTAATGCTCTAGTGCTGTGGTGTGGGTCTAAGACTGTGTGAGTCTGGTATGGAGAGAAGAACCCGTGCTCACTACTAACGTGCGCAGAACGGTTAGGGATCATTTTGGAACAGTGGGATAAATGGAATAACAAAGATGGTGCGCGTGGCGATAACTGTAAGTAGTAGTATGGTCGTGGAAAGTTCAAGTGTAGTAGAGGAGCAGCAGGTTGTGTAGTATTAATAGCATTATTCATAGGCAGTAATATGTTGATATTCTGCACTAGATAGGTAGTAGATAGTCAGGTTAGGTAGGTGAGCATTGTTCTGTGTTACTGTGAGATGTACGCCTGCGCTTGAGTGTTCGAGTTAACGAGTGGTGTCGGTCAAAGCAGCAGTACAGTATCCCAGCAGCCATCAGAAGACAGTAGTAGTCAGTACGTTGTTGTTGCTTGTCAGTAGTAGGTAGTGTAGTAGCTACGTATAGGTTGTAGTAGTAGATTAAGTAGTAGTATAGTAGTATAGTATTAGCAACAGTAGTCATCAGCCAGGCAGCAGCAGCAAGTAGTTAGTAGTCTAAGTAGTAAGTGAGTTGTAGTAGTAGTAGTATGAGTAGAAGTAAGTGAAGTATAAGTAGTAGTAGTATTAGTGTAGGCAACAGCAGTAATTCAGCAGCAGCAGCAAGTAGTATGGTAGTAGTTGTTGTTGTTGTAGTAATAGTAAAAGGTAGTAGTTTGTAGTAGTAGTCAGTAGTTTAGTGTAGTAGTATTTGTGTAGTAGTAGTGTATTAGTAGTAGTAGTAGTAGTATATTAGTAGTAGTAAGTACGTACATAGTATGGTTAGTAGTAGTAGTAGTAATAGTAGCCAGCAGCAGTAGCTAGTAGTAGTAAGTAGTATAGTAGTATAAGTAAGTAGTAGTAGTAATACGTAGTAGTACAGTAGTATAGTAGTAGTGTAGTAAGGTTAGTAAGTAGTAGTAGTAGTATAAGTTAGTGTAGTAGTAGTAGTTAGTAGTAGTAGTAAGTAGTAGTAGTAGTAGTAGTAGTAGGTAGTACGTAGTAGCTAACGCAGTGTATAGTGATGTAAAGTTAGTGAGTTAGTTGTTGTTGTTGTTGGTTGTTGTAAGTGAGTAGGATTAGTAAAGTAAGTTGTTGTAGGTCGTAGCGAGCAATGTTCTAAGCGCAGCCAGCAGCAGCAGCAGCAAGCAGCATGCAGCTAGTCTGTAGTCAGTAGTAGTAGTAAGGTAGAGTGATAGTAGTAGTAGTTACAGCATAGACAGCAGCAGCAGCAGGGCAGCAGCAGTAGTAGTTAAAGTAATAGTAAGTAAGAGTGTAGTTAATCAGTAGTAGGAAGGTGAGATGATGATGATACAACAACAACAACACAACAGCAAGCAACAATAATATAGTAGTAGTAGTAGTGTATACAGTAGTAGCAGTGAGAATAGCAAGGATAGCATGCTTGTAGTAGTAGTGTTATGTATGTAGTAGTTAAAATGTAGTAGATCCATAGAAGTTAGTTAGAGGCGAGTAATGGTAATACTATAGTTCATATCATAAGTCCATAGTAGTATGCAGTAGTAGAAGTAATAATAATAAAAATAGTAACACTCGCTTTGACACTAACAGTTAATAAAAAATATTAACAATATTACCAAGCTACTCTAAATAAAATCATCAAACAACAACAATAACAACAACAAAAAACAATAAATAAGAGGACAACGACTAAAGACGACAACAAAACGACTAAGCAAAGACAACGCGAACAAACCGATAACAAAGACACAACAACCAACTAACAAAGACACGCAACAAACCTGACTGAACAAAGACAACAACAACCGGCTACTAGAAACAACAAACCGACTAACAAAGACAACTCAAAAACCGACTAACAAAGGACAACAACAAAACCGAACTAAGCAGACTCACCCACAATGCAAACCCCCAATCTCGCCCCATCAATCTCTACAATCAAACGACAGCAAAAAATGCGAGTACACTGCGCCACGTTCTGGCTTAGGCAATCATTGACTCGATGCAATTACCCAATCAACCGAAAATTGTAACGCAGAGAGATAAGATCACGCACACGCAGCCACACACATATAAACACAACATAAACAATAACACACTACATACATAACACATACATACATACATACACATGCATGAATTCATACATATATACATACATACAGATAGACACAGACAGACAGGAGACTAGACATACAACACACACAAAACAACGAAACCATATGAACACATACATACATGACATACAATACATACACATCCATGAATTCGAACATGTATACAGTACATAACATAAAGATAGACATTGACAGACAGACATACAACACACACGATGAAGCACATGGATTTCATACATACATATATAAACACACACACACAGCACACACATACTGCGATTATCATCGTCATATAACACATACAATACATACTACTACATACATGACCAGCTGATGCATGAATTTTGCATACATTATAATACATACATACATAAAGATATGACATTGGACAGACAGACATAACAACACCAATACATGGACTTCATACATACATATATCTAAAGACAGCATAGCACGCAGTCAACATAGAACAATAACACATACATACAGTACATAATCACACTCCATAATTCATATCACTATAATAATACACTACACACAGATAGAAAGCTGCACATCAGACAGACAGACATACAACAGACACATCTTACGCAGCTCACACAGCACATAAACTACATACATACATATATAATTATAATATACACTGCCAATGAAATTCATACATATGAGTACTACATCCACAGGACAGCCGTAGTCCAACT